TATAGAGCATCGCCGTGACTAAGGTGGCCTGGTGACTGTCCCAAGGTGAGCACCAGTTGGCAGAGCATCGGCCCAGGGGTGACACCACCAGCGTGCTGGGATTGAGGAAAACGATGAAATGGCTTCGCTGGTGTCTTGGTGCTCCGGGGAGCCGGTTACATCGGTGCTGTGAGCTCGGACCGGACGGAGGAGGGAGCACACGGAGTACGATTGCTGCTTCTCTTATCACCGGAATAAAATTTAAGGGGTTTTCCTTGTCCGGGAGTGATGCATTGGAAACTCGAAGTCAGGAACCATGTGAGCAGATGAACGCACCTCGGCGTGACATTTTTTTTCCCTCCCTTCTCCTTATAAATGATCCGTGTCTTAACCGGAGGGAATGTGGACCTGAGTTTCCTGTTTGCTGTGTAAGCAGGGTGTGAATCAGCAGCGATTTACGGTGCTGCTGAGCGGAGCTGCTGACTCACAGGTAGGAGCACATGCCTCCAGCCACCGTCCTGCACCCAGACAGATCGACCCGGCTTCTTAAAAAGCCTGTCACGGGGACGCCTGAGCCCAGACCTCTCGCTCAGCTCGCAGGTGGTGTGTGGATGTGTGGATGGAGGGAAGAGGTGAGCCTGGCCAAGGAACTGCTTGTGTCCTACAGGAGATGAGGCCCGAGCTGGACCTGGGAGGATTTGGGGAGAAGTAGTGTGGTTGACAACAAAAGGTGATGCCTGTGGGAGCACCTGGGAGCGTGGTGCTTTCCTGGGAGGAGGTTTGAAACCCTTCTGTGTCTGCAGGTTTCTGGTAGCACAGGGCTGTTGGTTGTGATGAACCAATTCATTCATAATGACTGCTCAGATCCTTTGCTGGAGGTGTCACACGTGTGCCGAGTGCGCCTGTTCTCTGCTGGCACTACCAGCTCCGGGTCCCCACCTGACCTGAGCTCCTTTGCCTCCATGGGAGCAGCGTTCAGCATGGGAATCAATCCTGAGCGTGTGTAACACATCTGCCTCTTCAGAACCCTCTCCTCTCGTGCTGCTGCCTGTCTGCTCTCCCTGCCCTGGGTTTTGTGTCTGCCTCGGCCGTGCCAGCCCTCCAAGCGGGTTTGCTGGCTGTGCGCTGCCACATCGGGATGCTCGTAGGTCTGAGTGCGTGCATGGGACTGCAGATGCTGTGGACAGCACTCGTGGCAGCTCCTTCTGCCTTTGTTTTTGGATGGCTTGAATTTAACCTAAATTTCCCTAATTTTCCATAGGGAAATTCAGCTGGTGGTCTCAGGTTTCCTTTTGCTGGTTGCTTTCTCTTCTTGGGCTTTAGTTGCTCAGGGTTATAAATGAAGGCTGCTGTACTGAAGCTCTCAGGTTGGCTATTTCCATGATGGAGGTGTACCAAAACTCACCTGCTGTCATTTTGGCTTAGTCACGAGGTTGTCTCCTGCCTCGGGAGTTTTTGGGGATGCGCGTGGCTGGCCGTGACACGCGCCAGAGGAATGGTGCCGGGCAAGAGCTTTGCCTCGCTCTGCGCTAAACATAGTTAGAGAGATAAACACCTTCTGGAGATTATGTGAAGCTTAGGAAGGATTTGAACTTTCTTCCTCTTCCCATTGCTGGTATCTGCTTGATCCAAATTATCTTGCAGGATCAGGTGTGTGGGGGGGAAAAACCTTGTTTGGTTTTGGTGTTATCTTGTGTTATCAAGTCTGATGTTTACTAAAATATGTAAAAACTCCCCATTGTGTCAGGTCACCAAAGCTCCCTCCAGCCGAGTTTCATCAAATGTGTGGCAAGGGGAGGAATTTTGCATCAAATATGTGGCAAGGGAAGGAGTTGCATGCAAAACTCTGGAGCTGCCTGTGTGTCTTCCTTGCAGAGCTTTGCAATGGACACATCCTCTAGCTGGAGATTGCAATAAGTGGCAGGTTCTGGGCATGATTTTCCAACAAAGTCTGCATGTTTTTCAGGAAAATGGTTGCTGGGAAGGGTGGGGTGTTATATCTGAGAGGTTAAACCAGAATGGGAGGAAGCTTCGGGGAGTTGCAGCCCTTGGATACGTGCAGAAGCACGATGGAGGGTGCAAGGTCTGTGTTAGACACTGTGTACAAATCCAGGCTGGTCCTTTGCCTCTGGGACTTGAGGCATATTTTCTACCTGCCCATGTGAAGACCCATGTACCCATCACCATGGCTGCGGGCTGTGACTCAGGTGGCCCCAGTGACTGGGAAGCTTCTCCTGGAGGGACAGGCAGGAGCCTGCAGGTGGGGAGATGCATGTCTTACGAGAGAGATCTTCCTCCAGGGACATAGGTGCTGTTGGGGAGAGGGGGCAGGATTCATCTGGAGCCAGGCTGTGTTTCTGGGGAGGCAGCTCTCCTTTGACACTGAGGCTTGGAAAAGTCAGTGGTGAGAAATGCCAGAACCTGGGGATGAACTGGTACTTGTGCTGGCGGTGTGTCTATTCTGGGTAGGTAAATAAGTGGTGGGGACACATCCCTCCCGCGCCCTCCGTGGGACCCCACCACCGTTATGTGATTCAGTCAGCTGTGAATCCTGTACTGTCTCGTGTACAATTCACACTTTTCCTGCTGCCACCCCAAAAAAAGGCAATTCTGCTGAAAATACCTGTGGGACTGTGACCTGCAGGGCTTGGGCTCTGGGCTCCCATCGCATCCAGGCAGAGCAGCCACCAGCCTGGTGTCCCCTGGGTGTATGTGGGGATACCAGGGGGGGTGGCAGGGCTGGGAGCTCTGAACCCACACACCAAGGTTTTTATTTTAATTCTAGTTGAAGCCTCATGGAGCCTTCATTCAACTCATTCTAACAGTCAGAGAGCACAGTGCTTTGCTCCTGCCCTCCTCTTCCTGCTGCTTTCTGCCAGCATAACGGTGGGCACCTGGAAAAGATCATGTTGGACGTGATAAATATTTAGCTGTGCTTCAGCAATCCATCTCCCTCCCTGGTGGGATGCTCCCCTGCTTTTTTTCAGTGGATAATGCTTCTCCCTGAAGGCTGCTGCTTTTATTTTCCAGCTTTGGGCTGCAGTCCAGGGCTGAGCCAGAGTTTACTTTGTCCCCGTTGTTTGCAAAGGTGGTTGTCACTGGAGGAAACTCCATGGTGCTTTGTGGAGCTTCTCTTTGGGTGCCTGGGAATGGGTGCAGGTTTCTGGCCTCGGTGATTTTGTGACCTGAGAAGCCACCACTGCAGATGTGGGGCTCTGTGGGTTTTTGGACAGAAGATGATTTTCACTGGTGTTAATAAAGTGCTACCCAGGCTGTTTGTTGGGGAAAGAGCTGGGAGAGGAACTTGTGTTGTCTGGGGAAGTGATTTTACTCTACCAACAAAAAGTTTGGGGTTTTACTGGTTTGACTCAGGACTTCTTGTGGGTACATATGGAGCTAGATCTACCTGCTGCCTCTTGTGCTGACAAAACTCTGTAGCACAGGTTGAGTGTTATCCAGGGGTTTTGAGTGGGGGAGAAGGCAGAGAGAGGATTTTTTTATGGTGGAAACTGGAAGTTTCTGTTCTATTTTCAGCCTTGGAGATACCCCATCTCCCCACAGCCCCTTATCTGCATGGGGATGATGCTGCACTGATACCCTGGCAGTATTGTAAGTCTAAATGTTCGTCACCCCATGGGATGCCATAATTACTGGGCACTACTGGAGCTATCTCAGATATCATGGTGGCCCCGGCTGGCCTCGGTTTGCAGTGGGTCCAAGTCTTTGCTCCCTGTTCTGGAGCTGGGACCAAGCTCCCTGCTTGCACCTTTCTCTTGCAGCAAAACGCTGGAGCAGAGTTGCTGCCTGTGTCGGATGCAGAAGATTATGGTGTGGCTAAGAGAAGGGCAGGATTTGGGAGTCCCAGAAGGTAGAGGAGAAAGGGAATCGCTACCTAGTACTGGGCAAGGTTCTGGACCTGCAGTGGGATGAAGGTGGGAGCAGGGCAGGCTGTCTCCAGCATCCTTTCCCCCCAGTAATCCTGTGCTGCGTTGTCCACACGGTTTAATTAATCCATGGATTTAATACCACAGGGCTCTTTTGTGCAGTCTACTCTGTTGACCTGTTCCAAGAGAAGATGGGCAGCACTTTGCAAAAGCATGTCCTGGAGGCTGGTGGGCTTTTCTGTGTGGTGTGATTGCCCTTGTGTGCTGCTGGATCTAACCTGAAGGGGAAATGGGGAAGAACTTGGATCATGGGCTTTAAGGTCAGAGGGGATGATGGTGAGCATTGTGCTTGGCTGGAGGTCAGGATGTTGCTTCCAAGAATTACTGCAGCTCGTCCAACAGCTTTTGGGTGAATTAAGCCAGATTGTGTAAAAAAAAAACCAACCCAAAACCACCTGATCTTGTTTTTAAAGACATCCAGTGCTGCAGTTTGGTTTCTCCGAAATGTGAGTGTTGTGGCCTCGGGGAGCTGTTTGGTGCACTGGGGTGTGGTACAGTGGGAAGTCTCTGCCCTGACCCTGGGAGCAATGGCTCGTAGCCCCACTCACTGGGAAGCCAGGGAAGGAGATGTGTGAAGATGATGACCTGGCTGTCACCTCCTCCGAGAGCTGGCAGGGCACATGAGGGGCTGGGGGGGATCCGGCACCCACCAGGCTGCTGCAGCCCCCATCCTCCTGCCTGCACTGTGCTCTGGGAGGTTGGTCTTGAACTAAGTCTGTCCTTTGATTTCATCATTTCAACTGAAATGCTTTTTTAAAAAAAAATAAATTTCCATTAAAAACATAACTTGAGTAGAAGAAGAGGCAGGATGAGGAGGAGACAAAACGTACCAGAAGTTGTTTGTAGAGCATCCACCCTTCTTCCCCCCGACACCAGTACCACCAACAACAGAGAAAAATCTAGTTTTGGAAAGGAAAAAACCTCTGGAGTGCTTGATACAAGTAATTTCCCATCAGAGGCTGCTAACCTTAGTTGTGGTTTGGCACTGGTGGCAGCCTAACTGCTTGTATCCGATGAACCTCTCTGAGGATGATGATGCTTACTTACTCCCTGTGCCTTGCTTGTCCCCTCTCCTTCTCTGGAATTTCCTGTTGGGCATCGAGTGCCCCTTGTCTCGGGGTGTTCGTACCCTTGTTGCCTCATCTCCTGCCTTCATAGTCCCTATCGTGTCTTTTAGGAAAATTAAAAGCAGCTTTTAATGATTGTGTTTTGTTCACATAAAAAGTCTCAGAGATTTCCAATCAGGAATGCATAAAACTGGGCAGCTGGGATGGGATCCTGATGGAATTTCTTCGGTGGTGCTGAGAGCCACGTCCTCCTTTACCATCCACTGGTGATGGGTGGGACTGGTGGTGCAGTGACCCGTGGTGCAGG